GAAAGAAAGAAAGAAAGAAAGAAAGAAAGAAAGAAAGAAAGAAAGAAAGAAAGAAAGAGAAAGAAAGAAAGTGATTTCCAGATTGGGCCTAGACCATGTGAGCACTTAACCAGCTCGGCTATTAAAAACCCACAGGCAGGTGTTACGAAGTGAAAGCTTACCTATTAAGTCCACTTAGTGGCTGGGCCACAGAGCAAACGTAATTAGCTCACACATATTACGGAAGTGTTTGCTATCAATCCATTTGCCCATTAGTGTGTGAGAACTGCCATTCTCTGCTGATTTAACCAAACAATCTATAAATGATTGTGTTCACAGTACAGGGGAACATACCCCTCTCTGTCTACTGTGATGGGGCCATCTCCCAATGAAAGCAACATCGTATCAATGTTGCATGTCATTGCTTTCCGTATTTTAGGAAATATGGGCTAAGAACAAAGCTCAGAGCAGACCGACACCTCAGCAGCTTATAGGCTGTGTGTCCTGAATAGGTGATATTTTTATGGCAGCTGTTTCTCTGATCATTTGTGATTCACCCAAACATGGCCTCTAAATGTTTGAGATCCTTCTGCTTTTCTCAGAAACATGCATATGAGCCAGTTTCTTTTGTTACCATCAACCAGAAGCTTTGAATGTGAGTGGCTAAAATTTATGATACAAATATTAGGAATGAATATTAGATGCATATTAGTATGAACTGTTCTCTACCTAGGACTGCTTCTATGAGTGCTTCATACAGTGCTTCTGGACGCCATGAGGACCCAGCAGGGAATGTCAGGGAAGCTATTGCCTCCTGGACATCTCTTTAAGTACCAACGTCCACCTGAGTTGATGCTCTTAGCTGACTTGCAAATCTGTGTCCTTCACACAAGCCCTGGGCCTTGGTCCCAGCCACAGAAGTCTGAAAGGCCAGGTATCCACCAAGATGCTACTTTTTTCTTCTTTTTTTATTCTTTCAACAAATGCTGGTGTTGCTGAGAAGAGAATAATTTATCAAAAGAAACTCTGCCATGATTATAAACTATCCTTCTTGACTGATGACTGTGCCTCCGGTATATAACTCAGACTACATCAGCTCAAAGCTAGAGATCTATCTGTTCTGAATGATCTCAGCCCCAGGACTGTGGTAGGTCAGTGTGCCCATCATTACCCAAGAGCATTCTGTCACCATGGCTCAAGTAGCCAAAGATAGTCACCTTGGAATCTGCCTTTTTACAATGCTCAGGGCCTTTAATGATGAACTGCATAAAAGCCACAATAAAAGTGTGGAGTTTATCATGCTCACCTTAAGTGAAAGCAATTAAACAGGTTTCACTTAATACTGACAGTTCCCCTGGCAGAAGCACCTCTACTCACAGACAAAGCCAGAAAAGCTGCCTCTGCCATCTCCCTCTGCAACACCAGAGTGCAACGCGGACTCCCCTGCATGGAAGCGCTGGATGGCACCCAGGGAGTTCTCTGCATGGAGGGGAGGAGCATTGCACTCCCGTTTCTAACATCGTGTCCCGGTTTCTCACAAAGCCACTTGTCTTTACTGGAGATGTGTCGTACCCAGCATACACACTACCGACATCGCTCATTCATTTGGAGCACAGAACCCTAACTGCCCTGGACTTGAGATCTGGCCCATGTTAGTGTGCTCTCTCTCTCCTCCTTACACTGGGCCCCTCTGAGAAATATTTGTCTCCCTTGAGTTGTGAGTTATTCTCTTCAAGCAACATTTTTCTTTTCTTGAGTCTCACTCACAGTGTGACTAAAGAACTCAGCTGGGAAGGGGGAGAGTGAGCCCAAGGTGAGGACAGGAAGAGCCCCATGCAAGTTGAGTGCACATCAGCCAGAAAGCTCACTGGACAAGTCGAGAAACAGAAAACAACAACAAAAACACGTCTGTTGAAAGAGCCCAGAGGGTCACAGGATATCAGTAGGCCTTCAACTAGGTCCCTCCCAGACGTACCCATCCATTGAATACCCATCCATTATCTCCAGCTCCAGGCAAAGTTCTGTGTTGAGCCCGCCAGCCTCAAGCTAGAAGCATCTCTCCCGCTGGCGGTGCTTAGGCAAAGTCCCTACAGGCTTTTAATGATGTGTGAAGAGAAATCCCACCTTCCTCCTGCACTTTCCTCCATGTGGAATCTGCACAATGTGTTCTTCACAGAGAACTGGACTTGAGAGCATTGACGAACCTTACCAAGGAAGCTGTGTCTGCTGCTGTGAATGTGTGTGTCCCCCAACGATGATGGTATCTGGAGGTGGGCCATTGGCAGAGGATGAGGCTATGAAGAAGGACCACTCTGGAATGGGGTCTTTGTAAAGGAGCCAGCTGCCCCACTGCATGCAGCATGTGCGGATGCAGAGAGAAGGCCGGGGCCAAAAACCTATGAACACTTCTCCTTGGGCTTCCAGCATCCAGAACTACGGGAAGAAAATTTCTACTGCTTGTAAGCTACACACTATGGGATATTTTCTTCCTGTCCCAGTAACAATCGAGTGCAGCACGTGGGCCCAGCTGCTAAGAAGGCCTGGAAATAAATGATGTTAGAATGGGCAGGCCACAAGAATCTCTACTCCATCCGTCCGTTCTCCATTGGAACCTACTCCCCACCAATCCACCGCTGTGGTTTGAATGTGCAATGCCCTCTAACCAAGGCTCACAGGTTTGAGCCCTTGGTGCCCAGCTGAGGATGAGCCCTGAGGCAAGACCAAACTGGAAGAAGTCAGCCGCTGGGGTAGACCTTGGGGCTTCTCAGCCCATTTCCCATCTCTCCCTGATTTCTGACGGATGACACAGTGTGGCCAGTCACCTCGTGTTTCTCTACCATGCCAGCCCCACCATGTTGACCTATAACCTCTTGAACCCTAAACCCAAGTAATTCTTCCGTCTTTAAGTTAGTCCTTTTGGTGTATTTGGTTACAGAAACAAGCAAACAAACAAAAAGTGATCCAGCCCTTGACCTTCCAGATGTGTGTGCCGTCGGTCTCTGTCACAATCCAATGTAGCCCTCAATAGTAAGCACCGAGCATGCGCGTCCTGATGATCACGCCCTGTGATGGGATCGGAGAAGGGTTCCCAGCCCACCTTTCGTGATGGGATGGACGCTGTTGCCTGTGTAGCTCTCTGCCAAATGGCCTTTTTCTTTCTCAGTCTTTCTTCTTGATCCTCTGTCTTCCTTCTCATCGTCACGTTGCTTCTCTCTTGCACTCCCTTTTCCTCCCCCTGCCCTGCATCTCTTTCCTATCTCTTTCTTAGACACACATGCCCCACCGTCATGTTTATTTGTTCTATGCAAACAAAAAGGCAATTAAATCTAGCAGATGAGATCCAACATCTGTTCAGCAGCTATGCAGGGTTAGAGTCTGAGGAGGCAGGAGAAAAAAAGTTTCCCTTTTCAAATGCTCGAATTTTCGCCCTTGTATAGTGAGAATACGTACAAGGAAAGTTTATATAAATATGCATTCATTTTGCATATGTTGTTGCTCATAAAATGACCATATACTCTTCATTACAAGATAAAACAGAGTCTTCGTTCATCTTTTCTTACAAGGGCTTGCATCGTTCCTTCATACTCACTGTTCTTTCTGGGACCTTTTCAGTTTCTTACCAACTTCTCTTCAAAGACAGGCAAGATTCAGCAATTTTTAAAGGAAGATTAATGTTTCTCTCCGTCAGAATAAACCGCTTTGTTTTGCAGTGGTGGGACTAGACCTTGGGCCTCCTGCTTGTCAGGGACAGGCTCTACCACGAAAATGTGTCCTCACTCTTTTCCATTTACTTTTTCTTTTTAGACAAATTGGGTCTTCCTAAGTGACTCAGGTTTGCCGTGAACTCTAAATTTGACATGCTCCTGTCTCTTAGTCTCTCAAGTAACTAAGATTAGAGGATTTCACCACCTGACTTAAATCCTTTGAATTAATAATAAATATTTAGTATAACTGGTAGGTATCTTCTTCACTGCTGAATCCTAATAAGTCCCCTCACCGTGTGTGTGTGTGTGTGTGTGTGTGTGTGTGTGTGTGTGTGTGTGTACGCGCGCGCGCCTGTGCGTCAGAGGACAAAATCATATATCTTTCCTCAGAACCAATCCACCTTGTTTTTTCTCAGGCAAGGTCCCTCACTGCCCTGTAGTTTATTGACTAAGTTAGGGTGCTGGCCAGCAAGCTTCAGGGATCTGCTTCAGGGATCTGCCTGTCTCTGCCACATGATTTCTGAGATTACAAGTCCAACTTTTCTTCTTCTTTTTTTTTTTTTTTTAACATGGGTTCTGGACACCAGACTCAGTTTCTCCTGCTGTGTGCCAAGCATTTTATAGACTGAGCTATCTCCCTGGCTCCCTGAAGAGTTTTAATCTCCAGATACTCTTCCTATTGAATGTCTTTGGCTATCTATGCTTTTCTCTTGATTCTGGCTCCCAAGGGAAACCAATTCGTTTGAGAAACCAGAGGTCAGCTTGCTCCTGCACAGTATCTATGAAGAGCCTTCCAAGGACAATTACAAGAAGTCCTTAATTGTTCTTAAGGACTCGTTTTCTTGGAGGTGAGAAGTGCTGCTTAAAGGAAAAACTAATAGATTAAAAGAATGTGAGAATGCATTGAAATACAGCATTGGACGCAAAGAGGAGCACACGGGATCAGGGCTGACTCCAGTCATAGATCCGTACTTCATCACTTGTTATAAAGAGAGATCAGGAAGCCTAAAGCTAAACCCACCTAATAACTTCTGGGATGTAAGGAAGAGCCAGGCGCAGAAGGCTGAAGCAGTCATTTTCCCCCTTTAGACAGCTAGTAAAGCTATAGAGGGGAGGTTCCCAAATGCAAGATACGCTGAGCTACCAGGAGTAAAGGGAGACCCACATTGATGTGGGTAAGCAGGAAAGACAGAGCAGGCCGTGTTCTACTCAAGTAAAAAACTGCTGCAGTAAATATGATTATCTGAATGATTATTTACATAATGTGTATGATTGATCAGAATTAAGTATTTAGAAAGAAAAACAGGGTGTTTTAAGATGCTACTGGTAATGTGTGTGAGGTAAAATATCTGGTTATCTTCCCTCTAATCAAATTGTCTAATAATTACCTTTCATTGTCTAAACCTAGAAATCACATAGATTTCATTTCAGTAAAAGATAAATTAATCCTGGTATCTAAAACAGTTTTTTCTCAATGAATAAAAATGCAATGAATCCCGGAAAGTTAGAAGCTCTAATATTCAAAAGAAAGTGTAAAATGGAATGATGATGAGAAAAACAGCCAAGGAGAAGCAGGATCTCAGCCATGCTCCTGTCTGTCCTTCCATGCCAAGGTCAGCCCAGGTCTAGGGAGAGTTAAGGCTGGTGACCTGTTCTTGGGGCTGAAGAGAAACATATGGCTGCTCTGTCAGATGAAACCCAAATTGACAGTTTTGAATCCTTCCTACGATGCTGAATGCTAAATATGCAAATTACATCACTGAGCCTCTCTCTGTGCTTCCTGATCTCAACCTTTCTTCTGGAAGTCTGCCTTTCCTGGCTCCCCATCTTGTCCTAAGCAGCCAGAGTAGACTGGTGTTTACCTGCCACACCTTCCTTGACCTGACCTCTGCACCCTACCCTTAAGCAGTAGCAGTTCACAGAAACATCCACCAGTCAACTGGTTTTTCAACCTGTGAGTGATATGAAAATAATTTAAAACAAAAACAAGCTAAGCTCTCAAAAATCGGCAGAAACAGCATCTGGTTTGAGAATATTACCTTTTTCTTGGATGCTTCCGACTTTTTTGACATGTTCTTCAACTTTTTATGCAGATGTTTAAGGACCTGCAAAATGCAAACAAATGAGCCTGGTTTAACTCGTGTCTTACTTACACACTGTCTCTTTTTCAGTGATAACCACTGAGCATTCTGGTATCATGATACTATTGCTTATAAAACAATAAAAGTAGAAGTGCATCTTAGATAAGCCAGCCTTTATCAAAGCCACTGAATGAGTTCAGTGGTATCCCTGGAGGACAGACACACCTGGACGTGGTTAGGACCTCAGAAAATGCTGACACGTTCAGGGGTTCTTGGAGAAAGGGCCTGTCCTGAGGTGGGAATAGGGTTTACTCATGCAGTCCACTGCTCTGCCTGCCTTGGTTCTGTCCACTAATCTACATGCCTAAAGTCACCAGGTCCTCCTGTACATGGGACACAGGTACAGCTCAGAGACACGCTGAAAACTAGAAACTCAAGTTGTGGAAGGTCACCGTCCATGGGAGAAAACCAAGAGAACAGGTAAGAGAATATAACCTTACAATTGTTCAGTATGGTTGCCTGATCCTGCACCAAGTTTCTGGTGCTATCTATGAACCCCACCCACTCCAAAAATCTCTAAAGTAGTGGTTCTCAACTTGTGGGTCATGATTCCTTTTGCAAACCTCTCTCTCCAAAAATATTTACATTGCAATTCATAACTGTAACAAAATTACAGCTATGAAGTAGCAACAAAAACAATGTTAGGGTTGGGGGTCACCACAACATGAGGAACAGTATTGAGGGGTTGCGGCCGCAGAAAGGTTGAGACCACTGCTCTAGAGCAAAGCAGGAGCCAGCAAGGCTCCTTTAGTGTCTTATTCATGTATTATAAGGTGTGGCCTTTAGATAGTCCCCTTCAGGAATTCAGCATCACTGGTGATTTATGAACATCTTTCAGGTTTTACGGTAACCAAGCCTGTCAGAGAGATAAGCTAGCTTTAATACACTGAGAACTCATTCTTCTTGTCACTGTCATATTTGAGAGAAATGATGTGAATGTTGCTATTGGGCATAAAACTTCACAAATCTGAACTTTCTCCACAGTGCCTCTCCTGTGGGCTTGTTTCAGGTGTTTTCCTATTCTGATGGAGAAACTGGAATAAATGGCAAAGAGCTTGGATGGGCTGTGGGTTTCTGAAGAAGTTCTGAAGTGAGTGCGTGTTCCAGCCACTAGGATGTTTTCCTCTCACACCACAGCATGGAAATAAACTAATCCAATTGGCCTTCTGCCAAAGCCTGCTCCACTGTGCCCCAAGCAGCACCATCAGTCACGTCCTAATGGAGAAACCTCTGGATTCATGCACCAGCCTTCTGTACCTGAGCAGCAAGGCAGCCATCCTAGCAGCCGTCTTCAGTGTGAATTACTGTCTTTAGATTTCCTGCCCTACTGAGACACTTCTCAGTGCCTGAAAGCACATCAGTGTCTCACAAACACACAGTCTTTGCTATAGAAGCAAGTGGATAACTGGCTGATAGGCTGACACTGAAGTAGCTCTGTTCTTCTGACAGAAAGTATACAGAAGGCAGTGACAGAGAAGCTTTCAATAGCAGCAATGTGGAAACCTTGTGTAGGTGAGGGCTGGAGCCAGGAGCCTGCTGATGTAGTCAGCACTGACCAGCTAGCTGACAGCAGCCAGGATGTTGATGAAGTCCCAGATGTAACAGCAGCAACAACTATATCATGTCTCCCAAATATGACCATGGCAAGAGAACAGAATGGCTTCTAAGCAACCATTCTAGCTAGAAACATGGCAATGTTAATATTTGCAAACTTAGTAAAGCCAGCTAATCTCTCTGACAGGTATGCTAAGTGAAAACCTGAAAGATAATCACAAATCACTGGTGATGCTGAATTTCTGAAGGAGGTTATCTAAAGACCATGGACCACAGTGCTATGGGTCACAGAGGGAAAAGGATGCAGGAGATACCAAAAGAATCCGCTACAGGACATAAGCATCCGTGAGCAACTTCTGTATGTTACAGTCAGGACAGCTAAGCTGGGTCCCAGCTCAGAAATGTCGAAGCACCCACGAATACTGGATCGGCTGAACGATCCACGGAGATGATTCTAAAGGTGTTTTTCTTAGCTCCCTACCTCTTCTACAGCTCACCTATGATCTATGCTCACAATGCTCATGTGACAGATCTTAAGGTCCAGCCATTGAGGGAAAGAACATAGACCTTGGGATCAGTTATGACTTAATCTCTTGGGACAATGAGTGTAACAGAGGTGTGTTCTCACTTTGGACATAGGAGGGCTCTAAGTAGGGTTGTATGTTGAGGGAAGAGGGCAGCAGGCAAGAGCCCTACAGTACAGAGAGGAGCCATCTCCAGGAGTACTGGGCTGGGCCAGCTCACTGTGCTCTCCAGGGTCTTTCAGGTGCAAAGAAACTTCTCTCACTAAACATGAAAATATGAAAAGATCATCTTGGTAATGCAATTTATTCAATAATTTTTAAAAAGAAAATCTAAAATTCATGATAAGTTCAAGTGCTATTCTGGCCAGCTGATTCCTCACATGGACCATCACCACTGGTCCTTAGACCACACACAGCCAATTCGAAGTTTAGGAATTATTAACTAGATTGTACATGCTTAGTGCCCAACAGAAAACAGCAGCTCCAGGAAACTTAGCTCCAGTTCTCTAGGACCTGGGAAGAATTTACAGATACTGACATTGACTCAAAAGGTGTTTCCAGCTAGAATAGTTGCTTAAATGCTAACTATTTCTGGGTGGAAAATGGTAAGTATCTATTCATTAATTCTTTAACTTTGTCTTCTGTGGGGCTTTTGAAGACTCTTTAATAACAACCTGTTTGCCCTAAAAGTTTACTTTTTCATTTCCAAAAAGATTGAAATGCCCCCCCCCCCAGGACTTTGGGGAAAATGAAGGATGCATGTGTTTCCATTTCAAGGCAGCAATTAGGAACTTAAGAGACCAACATTTGAAGTATGGCTGAGTTCCCAGGCTCTTGGCCTTCAAGTACTGATTAGTTGTCGCCTCCTGAAACTCTTCTTCAATCCCAGCCTCACCCTCTGCTCAGTTGCTGCATCACTCTGAAAGTGCTTTTTCTTACTAATGAAATGGAGATGGCAGTTCCCAGCCGAGGCTCACTGAGCAAGCTCATAGATGTATACCCACAGCCCACAACTCACTGTGCAATGCAGCCTTTGCTCCACACTGGCAAAAACCAAATGAGCAAACCAGCTACTTCCAAATAGCTAGGCTGCCATTGCAGCTTTGGAGCCAGTGCACGCATTCAAGTAATATTGCCATTCAAGACAGACACGATCTCCTCTGCTCATATAAATGTGGGAAATTTCTTTTTCTGCGTCAGATCTGCCTTATGAGTGAAATGTAAGAAACCATTACTTTTCTAGACAGGAGGTTGTTCATGGTCCTCCTGTCACAGCTAAATAGACTAGGAGTCAGGGAAGAATAAAGTTGCATGGAAACCTTAGAATGTGCCTTGCAGGGATATATCTCTTCCCCAACCTTCTTGCTGGTTCTGATAGTACCTAAAAGGAGATCCTATGACAGAGGCTACCCGAAGAATCACATCAAATGAGCACTAAAAGATAGACTTCTGGATTAATGGGACATCAACAAGCAGTACCTAAGAAGTGTAAGACTTTTGATTGACATGCTGCTCAGTACCCCTCAGTTCCTTCAGAGCTGTGAGCCACGGGTCCCTCAGAACACAGGAAAACAAGATAAGCAGACAGTTCCCCCAGCTGTGTGGTTCTTGCTCACCACCTGAATCCCTAACCCTGGCCACACAACCTTGCCTGGAGGAGACAGCACCTGTCCTGCCCATAGCTCCCTGGGGACTTCAGTCAAGCTCTGTGGAGAAGAAGGGCTTCCCAAAGTCCCAGCGCTGATGGCCAGAGACCTACAGAGCTTGGACTCCAAAACCCTCCTGAGGTGCAGGAGCCAGTGTGCTGTGTGGGAAGAGCACTGCTCCAGGGGCCACACCAGCTGGTCTCAGCGCAGAGCTAGGAAGGCTAGAGACTGCAGTGGCCCCTGGCTGGTGGCTTTTAGAGGGACCGCAGGCTCTCTGCAGCTCCCTTTGCCCTGCTGGATTAGTTTCTTGGAGCCCACGTTTAAAAGCTGCTGAAACTGAACGTTTTGAGCAGCAGATCTGGGAAGCAAAACTGACTTTGTACCGCCAGGTGATGAGCAGCAGAGCTGCAGCACCCCTGAAGGGGAGCAGAAATGAAAGTCCCTCTACCCAGCTTCTAGACAGGAGCTGCAAACTTTCTCCCGGTAACTCTCCAACTCCGCCTTAACTTTTTTACCCCACAAAACATGCCAGAGCAATCTGAGATAAAGTGAGGTGGAGAGGGGAGAGAGCACAGAGGAGCGGGGGACATGGGGCTCAGTCAGGGGACCCTATGAGCCAGGTCAGAGCCTGGCCAGTGCTCCCCACTCACCTTGGCGTAGCAAAAGCAGATGAGCAGCAAAGGCAGAAGGTAGCCAAAGACGAAGGTACACACCACATAAGCCTTCTTGTGCAGCTGATTGGGCCACTGCTCCCAGCAGAAGGTCTGGTTGCTGTCCCGATGGAAGAGGCGCTGGTGGTAGGCCACCGGCGAGGCCATGGCGATGGACAGCGCCCAGATGAAGCCCACGCCCAGCAGCGCGTTGCGGGACACCCTGAGGGAGGAGGAGCGCCGAGAGTGCACAATGGCCACGTAGCGGTCCACAGACATCGCGGCCAGGGTGAAGATGCTTACCAGCATGGACACGGTGAAGAAGTAGTGTATGAACTTGCAGATGAAGGCGCCCAGCACCCAGGTGGGCAGTGCGTACACGGTGGCCTGGAAGGGGATGCAGAAGAGCAGGTAGGCCAGGTCTGCGATGCTGAGGTTGAGGATGAACAGGTTGGTGGTGCTGCGCGGTTTGCCCGGTTTGCTGCGCGCCAGCACGGTGATCACCAGGCTGTTGCCCAGCACGCCCATCGCAAAAATCAGGCCAAAAACCACCAGCGTGATGAAGTTCTCCACGCCGATGCCGAAGAGCGGCCTGGATTCCAGGGTGGGAGACTCTGGCTCGCTCCCATTCCCCTCGCTGAGGTTCAAGGTAGCCAGTTCCATCACTTACTGGGACACCCCTTTTGGGCGCTGTGCAAAGGAGCGCGCTGGAGAGGGGTGCAAGCCGGGGAAAAGCTGGCTCTGGAGGTAGCCAAGGGTCGCCCGGCGGCCCAGCTCAGAGCAGCGAGGACGCGCTTCTCCAGCCAGAAACTCCTGCTACCCGCAAGACAGCAGGGGGCAGCGCCCCGGGCCGAGCCCTGCAGCACCGTCCTCCTGCCTGGCCTGGCTAACGAGGAGGCGGTGCTGCAAGTGCCGGGCGGCGGGGGCTCCGGAGCACAGAGGTACCGGTCTGGGCGGCTGCGATTGCTGGCAGGCGGCAGGCTGGGCGGGAGACTCTTCTGAGACTCCAGTCTCTGGCAGGCCGAGTCCCCTCGTTCCCGCGGCGCCTTGAGGTCGCACCTGTTGCTCCGAGCCTCTTCTTGCCGCCGCGCCCCTCAGAGCCCAGCGGTGCGCACCTTCAGGGGTGGAGGGTGGTCCGGCTTCCCGCACTGCGAGCCACCGCCCTGCCGCGCTGGGGCTGCGGCTCCCTCCTGCCTTCTCCCGGGTCCTCTGCGAGCCGCACCGCTCTCAGGGCTCCCCACGGTGGGCAGAGTTTCTGCGGCACGGGAGGGACAGTGGGGGTTCAAGTGCGTCCCCTCTGTGCCTCCCGGTCCGGCCTGAGATTTACAGCTTGCTCCCAGCCTGGCGCTCTGAACCGGAGGGGTGGCCCCCCCACGTCCTTGCTGGAACTGGGGCGCTGCTGTGGGGGCTGCTCTCCCGGGAAGCGACCGTTGGCGCTGGGAGCCAAACTGGCTATCTTCCTCTGCGCGCCACGCTGAGGCGCCGGGAGTGAGCCCTCCTGCCAATTGGTCCCTTTGGTCTTTCCTGCTCCCCGAAAGAGCGGAAATAAATCCCACGAAAATCAAAGGTTGCTCCTGCTACCGCGGGTTCTGTGACATCCGCTGCCCCGTTCCCTCCTCCATCCAGTCACAAGCTCCGGAGGGAAGAGGCAGGAAAGAAAGGAGCACCGCCTGCGTGAGTTTTCAGTACAAGCTTGTCCTGCGCACCCGTTCCCCTCGGGGATCGATCATTTTCATCAGACATTACTCATCTGACTGACACAAACGGAAGCGCGGACGAGTGAAGTGTTCGTTAAGGATCATGTGAACGCGCTGGATGTCTGTCACTGCTGAACCGGGGCACACCAACCAGATACAGCCGCCTGTGTGCCCGGTAACACACATGCAGAGAAAGACCTGCCCTCACGTGCGCTCAGTGTGGGCAGGGGGTGGCTACAATCCTTCCAAAAACGCAGGTGCCCTCCAGGGTGTGAGGGACCAGGACGGCTGGACATAAGGCCAGAGGAAGTGTATCCACAGAAGGGCAGGGAAGGGGCCTCTGGGGAAGCCCTGTGTCCAGGAGCTGAGCTTGCAGCGCAGTCCCCAGCGGCCGCGAAGTGTGCACAGTGGTGAGAGAGGGGAATTTAGGGACAATCCTGTCTCCTTTCTCCCCTCGCCGGCTCTCTTCTTGCAGTCCCAGGGACACCCTAACGGGACGCATACCTGCTAGTGTTCTGCTCTTCTGCAGAGCTCCCTTACAAAAGGGAGAGAAGAATTCTCACCTAAGCATCCCGAGAACGGCCTCGCCTGAGCCAGGTGATGGCGTCTCGTCCTGTCTTCCTCCCCAGCGGTGCTCTGGGACCTAGAGCTTCACAGGGTTCTGTACTGTACTCTGCTGCATCGACAGCCATACGTAACACGACCTGGGAAAGTGGTTTAGCCTTGGGGTTTCAATATTTGTTTTATTGTGTGTGTGTGTGTGTGTGTGTGTGTGTGTGTGTGTGTGTGTGTGTGTTATTGGGAGTTGGGTGAACCCAGGGCCTCAGTCATGTTGAACAAACCCTCCAGTGATCAATAAGCAAGAGCTTATAGGGATTTTGCTATTGTTTTTGTTTTCATGTCTCGTAAACTTTTTATTAACTTTTTATTAATTAATTGTGTGTGTGTGTGTGTGTGTGTGTGCGCGCTAGCACACGGGGCAGTCCCAGGAAAACTTTCAGGAGTTGCTTCCCTCCTTCTACCATGGACTCTGGGCTCGAACTGAAATCATCAGGTTTGCTTTGGGGGTGTTTTACTCACGGAGCCATCCCTCAGCCCTCTGTGAACCGTCTTTGGCATGGGAGGCTTATAATGAGATTATATCATACTCGCCAGCCCACCATCCAGCTTACAACACTTCAAAACTTCCCAGTATCCTTGGAGTCAGTTCATAGGTTGCTAATCACAGCCTCCACTGCAGCCGCTTAAATGTGTGGCCCATTGCTCCTCTCCAAATGTACACATGATATATGCATCTGCCCTAAATGGTGTCCTGTGTCAGGTTTGGGGGCGTACTGGCTGCTTTCGTGTGTGACCTGAAGGCAAGTTCGAGTCACCAGAGAGGAGCGAGCCTCAGCTGAGGAAACGCCTCCATGAGATCCAGCTGCACGGCATTTTTCTAGTTAGTGATCAATTGCGGAGGGCCCGGCACACTGTGGGTGGGGCCAGCCCTGGGCTGGTGTCCTGGGTTCTAGAGGAAAGCAGGCTGAGCAACCCTTGAGGAGCAAGCCAGTGAGCAGCACCTTCCATGACCTCTGCATCAGCTCCTGCCTCCAGGATCCTGCCTTGTCCTGTCCTGACTTCTGTCGATGACGAAATGTAAATTTAAAAAAAAACATTGCCAGCTTGCTTTTTGGTCATGGTGTTTTGTCTCGGCCGTAAAAACCCTAACTAACACAGGGGGCGTTGGCGCTTCATTTTGCCTTGGCAGTGTGAGATGCAGTTTGCATGGTCATCTACATTTGTTTCGTTTGCCCTTGGCAGGTAATTCATTGCTCAGTTCATTGCATCTGTCTTTTGTTTTTTGCACTCTTCTCCCATACTGTGATCTCTTTAGAGCAGTACATAAAGGCAAGACTCTCAAATCCAATGTGCTCATCTGTTTTCTAACCAGTGAGTTTGGTCCATTTCTATTTGTTGGCTGTCACTGATCCAACAGTTGGTTTGTTGACATTTCCTGGATGCTTGGCAATTCTGTTCTGTTTCCTACAAGCTGCTCCCTCTGCTGTTCTTTCGCTGGAATGTTCCCCAGCCCCCTCCAAGATTCTGCTCCCAAGACCAGCTTCCCACAGGGGTTTCTCCACACTGTCCCAATGCCGGTTCACTCCCCAGTTACTGTGTCTCCTTGCCTTGCTTTTCCCCCTTTCACAGTCTTTGTCTCATTTCATAGTATAGTGTTATATCTTGTTAGAAACCTTATCCGTATTAGATATGGGATTGACAAACATGCGGTTGGATGGGTTAGTCTTGAAACAACGCGACGACACCTCAGACCTAGAGACATGAGTTTAGAGCCGCTCAAAATCCATTGTTAGTTAACAGAAATTAAAATGAGTTGTTAATGACCTGTTCCCTAAGAACTCAACCTCACTGCTCTAGTTCACTGGTTCTGTGGCCCAGCTGCTTGACCTTTTTAACTCCCCGCTGCTGGGGAGTCAACGCCCATTCTCTTCTCCCAGGACTTATAGCTGCCTGCCTTCGCCAACTTGACCCATCAGAAGCCTTCTTCCTGATCAGAAAGTGCCTTTCAATTCTTGCTTTAGTGGAAGGCAGTGGTGAAAGCATTTGGCCCTTATTTATCCAGCAGCACTTGACCAGAGAGTTCTTTTCTCAGCCTTTGTTTTTGTCCCCAGGAAGTTGTCTCCCTGTTCTTTGTCATTTTCTGTAGGTATGTTTTACTTTCCTCTCTATTGTATTGTCTTCTTTTTGTCACTGGTGTTTTAGGATTTGTTTCAATGTTTGCGCTAATTTTTATTTTCAGCACCCTCCCCCAAGTTTCTGAACTAAGGAGTAACGCTTTTTCATCAGTTTCCAGACGAAGACAGGGACTGACAGGTGTTGCTATGGCTCTTCCCAGCACAGGGAGGACTCGCCCCCTTGGTGTGATGCCCCTGCAGCGCAGGACTCACTCTCAGCTAATTAAGACGAACAGACACCACCTTCCACTTACATAAGTGACATTTTTATCTTCAATATTCTTTTGAAACAACTTTTTTTCCTTGTACTTTTGTATCCTCTTCCTTTAAAGCCAATGTGAGATCCCAGGTTGAAAGGGAATGAAAGCTCTCATCTGTCCAATTATCTTCATGAATTCACTCCCTGTCTCTGCTGTACTTCCAACTTTGCATTACAGTAATTGATGGGTGGGATGTTACCCTTGACCCTAGGAAAAGCACCAGAGAGGAGCAAGTCCCTCCTCTTGTTACTCTGGTCCGCCTGGCACATTCCTGCTTGGGGAGCCCTGAGCTGCCAGAATCCTGCCTGGCCCAGCCCCTCCTTCACACTCAGTCATGGCCACTGAGTCACCGGGAGGTACAAGTGATGAAGGACATGTACCCTGTCTGTTGGAGCTATGGCACCTGTGATGGCATCTCTCAGCAGCTAGGCTTTGGCTGACACTGTGATGTGGGGAACAATGGAGGGAGAAGCCACACCTTCGGGCTAAGGCTCATGTTTATCTTTATGAACTTGAGTAAAAAGGTGCCACGCTGAGCTTCAGTTTCCTCAACTGGAAACCAGGAGGGACCATCTTGGGGTTGAATTTCCTTGGCGTGGTTCTCTGCCTCTCATTACAGCAAGGTATGTTTGGAAAAACCGAACTAATAAAACCCCCATCTTCCATGGTAACAGTCTCTACATTAAGAAGTTTGTTTTTAATGAGTAAAATCATGTCTGGGGCTGGCTAGAGGGCTCAGTGGGAAATGGCTTATGCTCAGGCCTGACAACCTGAGTTCAATCTCCAGGATCTACAGGTGAAAGGAGAAAAATCAACCTTTTAAAGTTGTCCTTTGATGTTCTTACATACACTGTGGCATGCATGATCATACATGCACACACACATGTGCCTACATTGTGGCGTGCGTGTGCACACACACACACACACACACAAATAAAATGTAATAAAAATTTAAAGAAGTTCTACGAAGTAATGCAGAATGTGAAACGCTATTTATACCACTGTTATTGCTGAATTTTTACAAACAGGTTTCTTTTCTAGTCTTGCCAGTGTGGTGCTCTATAAGCTTCTTATTCCTGGATAGACATCTCTTTCTCTAGGTTTGGGGAATTTTCTTCTACAATTTTACTGAAAAGGTTTCTTTATGCTTGAGCCATGATATTCTCCTTCTCTGTCTGAAATTTGGCAATCAGGTATTTCTTGGCGACTGAAAACTCTCCTGTGTTCTGTTCATTTGCTTTTACATTTCCCATTGACCTTTACCCAATGATCCAATTCCTCCACTTTGTCTTCCACCCCTGATTCTGCTTTTAAAATGAATCATTCTACTGCTGATGTTTTCCCACTAAGGCTCTTAACTGGCTTATTTCAGCATAGGTGTCCTCCGCTGTAAGCATTTGAGCTCCAGCCTCTACTTCTGGGCACTGGCCTTCCAGGGTGGCCCAGAAATGACAATCTGTGCTCCTCTTGCAGCCCAAAAATCCTAGCCTGGCCCCTGC